TTAAAGAAAGCTTTCTTTTTGCTTCCTTCTCTTGACCTCCTGTGTGCCACATTGTGGCTTTTGCCACCTCCTCTCCATCTTGCCCCAAATGTGTTAGTGCCTCTTATGTTTCTGAACTCCTTTAGCAATGGCATGTTCCTGTCTAGCACCAGAGTGTGTAAAAATTTCAACAGCTACCATTAATCCATGTCCCCTCTGCAAGAATGAAGAGCTGGCAACACTACGCTACATTGCATTTGATAAGCTGTTACTTTAAATCACAACAACACCCCATCCTCAGTACTCTATTAAAATTATCATAGAAAAAAATTAAATCACTTTTTAATAATTTCCAACTTCATCTCACTCACAATCATAAAACCACTGAAACTGGGGTGCTATGAATACCAAACACAGCAGACAACTGGCTAGCTGCCAGCTCTTCACATTCTGCTAATCTCTCCAGTGTTTCTTCGTAGCTTTCTGGTTTAAATTTTACAGCACTGAGCTTGCTTTAGGCAAACTAGCAGAAATAAATAACTCTTGGTGCATGCCTTCTCCCCACCAAGAAAATTTAGAACTGCTCTCTCATTACAAGGAAAGAAGAGGATGCGTGGGTTTATTCAGGATGAAGCATTAGTAATTACAATCTGTCATTGTCTCAGTGTATGTTTGGGTTGTTCTGCTAGCCTTTGGCTGGCACTGGATAACACTATAAATTACACAGTAATTTTTCACTTTTTCTGAACTGACGATGATACTGACTTCATCTTGATGACAAAAAATTGCCAGAACAGCTTTTATAGACTTAGCTTTTGAATTGATTCTTCTGCTTTAAATTGCAATTTTTAATATAAATTATTTTCAGTTCCCATAACAGCCTTTAAAATGTAATTCTTAAGTGTAATCCTAAACATCCTTTGCTATTATTTTTATGAGTGGCAACATTTGACTTCAGTAAAAGTGGGGCTTAAGAACTGCCAGAGTAATTTTCTAGTTAATGTTATCTATTATAAAAGCCTGCCAGTTTCTAAAATGATGCCAAGAATACTCAGCCTAGGCTCTGAAGGACTGGGAATGTCTTGACCTGGGTCTAGGCTCTATTCAAACTCTGAATCTACCAGTATTATGAGGAACTGATACACACTGGACTGTCACTGCCAACACCTCCTGTGTCTGATCAATTGCTGAGGGGAGCCAGGGGATAAAACTATCACAACACATTTCAACAGGATTATCAGGAACTGCATTTTCTCAAAGCTGATCACACACCTGTTTAAAGGCTCTTGGGTGAGGCTGAAGAAGCTGTCTCACAGCTGTCACCATGCCAGCTCCTCCTCCTCTGGTATCTGATCCTGGATGGGCCTCAAGCTGCATGGTGTCCTCACCATAGTCTTTGCTCCCACCCCTTCTCAGACACCAACTCCTAAATGGCTTCTTTGGGAACAGTCCCTTGGTATGAAATTTGTGGTATTTCCAAATGTATCACAAAAAAAAAAATTAAAAAAAAAATTAACCCTCTCCCTGCATAATAAAAGGGTCCTCTAATATATATATATATATATATATATATATATATATATATATATATATATATATATATATTTAAGTGGAAAGAAATTAGGATATGCATGGAAAGAAAATGGAATATTTCATGACTAACAAAGGCAGATTCATGGGTATTGACTTGGCTGTGAAAGTCTTTTCTTTAAAAAAAAGTCTTATTCAAGAAACACTAATCATCATCAAGGTGAAGGAAAATATATAACTTTGCAGAAAGGACTCTTCTCATTTAGAAAATCAAGGAGAAAAATTCTTAAAGTATTTGTTTATGGAAAAAATGTTATCTATGTCTTAGGCCAAGAGTTTATGTCAGAATGCAACTGAGTTATCTTTTCCTTTATAAAAGAGGCATTTTGTTAGCTGAAACTGAATCTTCACAATGATAGAAAAATTTACCAAAGAAGGGACCATAGAGGCCATCCAATCAAACCTCCTACTCTCAGCAGGGCCAGCTTCAGGGTTAGGTCATGTTGCTCAGAGCCTTGCCCACTCAAGTTTTGAAAATATCCTGAAATGGAGATGTCACATTGATAGCATTCAACTGAAATTTAAAAAAAAAAATTGTGTGAGAGAACAGTGCAGTTTTCAAAATCCTTAATTACACTCATCATTTCTCTAGTGACATGTCTCAGTGATTTTCCAGTATTTAGAAATACATGTTGAAGATGGGTGACTAAACAAAGTACAATGAGTTTTTTTGCTTTCAAATACATAGAAAGCTCTGTAAAACTGAAAATCCCCAACACCCTGACTGAGTCGGAATCTCAGCTGGACATGCTGCTTATTCATCTGTCTGGAAACGGTGCATTAAGTGTTTACATAGCAAATGCCCTAAACTGGAATCTTCCTCCTTAGGTTTATCCCCAAACAAATCTTCTGAAAGAGAGCAGTTGGAGAGAAAAAGTAAAATCAGAGAGCTGACTAGTCTTGCACACAGTTCCCATAAAAGTAAATAGCCTGCACAGCTCTTGGTAGTCCTGCCCCCTTCAACTACTATAGTCAAACCTCTTATTACAACAGCCTAAATTAACAATTTTTATTTCCAGCAAACATTTGTATGAAAAAAGTGTTTTCTGTAATTAACATTTTTCTCTCAAACTTTCTTGCTAGCAGAGAACTCCAAGTGCATGAACTTTCATGCACACACATATTTTTAAAAGAATCAATACAGTAAGTCAATAGTTCTTATTTTCTGACATTGCAATTCAAGTTCCCATGCCTAAAACTTTCCTTTGATATTAAGTTTTCTCTATCAGACATTATTTCATTTTCACTGACATACATGTGGCAGATATCTTAACTCTATCTGGTTTTAAACATTTTAATTACTAAAATTGTTTCAGTCTTGCACCTCCCATTAATTGTTACACTGTGAATCCACTAATTACAACATAAAAGCTATCACTAAGATTGCTTACAGTTCATGTCAATACAATGGAGCTGCATTCTATCTTAGTAATTTTTTTTCAATTTACTATGGATTTTCTTTGTACACCACTGCAAAACTATTCATAGTTTCCAAAGAAAATATGAAGACCTGAAAACTCCATTGTTTTTTCATTGCCTGCTTATTTAGCCAGTAACATTCACGTATGTTCCATGAAATGTTTTTTGTTCATCTATTTTTTCCACAGAAGCATTAATTAGAAGTCCAAAGATGTCCATTTTTTAATGACTTTAACCAGGCACTTTTTTCATGCCTTTGGTGCTTGTAACTAATACAGATTTTCACTGTTCATAGTAGAAGACTCTTCAAACCAGGAGTTAACAGCAGTCTCTTTTCTAGGAGACCAATAATGGGAAATCAAAAACACTTCTTCAATTTACAAAATAAACATTTGGCTATCACAGAAAAAAAACCAACAAAAAATAACAACAAACAAATAAATAAAACCACAAAAAATAAAACAAAAACCAAAAACAAACAAACAAAAAAAAACAACAAAGAGAACTTCGTGTAATACAAGTTTCAGGTCCAATTTTTCAGGTGCACTTAAGTTCTAGGATTTTTATTTTTCCATGAGTGTATATTGCCTGCATTTGGGCACATATTTAGACTGACCTTTTCTTCTGACCAGAACATTCCTCAAACAGGGAAATGGGCATCCAGGAAGTTCAGGCTGCACTTCAGCACTAATCCCACTGACAATATATACAAGAATTCAACAAGACTGGTTTCATACAGGATTTTCCATAATCTTCAAATGCATCTCAATAAGCCAGAGAGGCACATGTCCATCCCCAAAGTAAACTCTAATTCTTATTCCACTGTGCATAGCATGCTAACTGATTCTCTACCAAAACTTTCCTTCTCCAAAAGATGTGAATTACTCCATTCATTTTAGGGCAGTTTCTCCCTACACCATCATCATAACTTGTATTAGAGAACACAAGGAACTTGAATTCTTGTGAATGCAGCCCAACAGCACCTCTCTGTAGTAATTTGCTTTCACCTAACAGATGAAAATGGCCAAAACCTGGTTTAGCACACTTGAGCATTGTACATTGATCATTATATACTCAAAATCAGGAAACTAAACTGCTTAGCTAAAATTGCAACCATTCTTCTTGGAAAGAAAGTCAGGTCTTTCCTCCTTCTTGAAACTAAATTTTATGCCAGGATTCTACTCTCCATCACATCCTCACATGGAGATTCTCCAGTTCTGTGCAGCAAGTTAAGGCTCCAGAGCCAGCCTCAACAAAGAAACCAAGAGCCACTGGGGTCTACATTTTAAGTTGCATGACGGAACATGGCAGAATCCACAAGCATTCAGAACTCTGATCAGAACTTCTTTGTCCCCATCAATCTCAAATTATTCTTATGTAAATAAATGTGCTTAGAAGGCAGCAGTGATCAAGTACGCTACAAAGAAATTCTGCTTAGTAAAAGCATGTAATAGGGCACTAACAGATAAGCACAGTGAGTGATTAGCTTTGTATGCATGGCATGGCTAGAAAGCTCAGAGTCACTTGGCTGCTGCCCTCCTATTCACCAGCCCTCCCATGTTCCAAATAGAGCCTTCCTTCTCGTGCTGGAGCAGCTGCAGGACACAGCACAAATGAACCGAAGCAGATGCTGTTTCTCTGCACAGCACAGCAGACTGTGCATGGGACAGACACCCTTGCAGTGGGTGTTGGCTCATAGCAGACACCACAGAGATGCCTGACACAGTTTTTAAGTCTTAGTGATGACATTTTTTTGCTTTCCTAACCTTTAAGGTGAAAGACCCTGCCTGCATTTTTCCCTAACAAGTGAGGTCCTACAGAAGTCTGCAGCGTCCACAAAAAATATTTAGCAGGAGGGGCTAAAAGCGCAATTAATATTGGCTGTGGAAAGCATAGGCGTTGTTCCATACACTTAAGAGGTGCGCTGGGCTTTTTATTATGATGAGGATCTGTAGAACAAAACTTCGCTCATCTGAATGTTTGGTGAATACTGCTCCGTGCTCCTGAAACAGCGACGGCGTCCTGCGGAAAAGCAAAGCCCGAGCGCCACCTGCCGCTGCTTCCCAACAGGAAAACGGCGCTGGATGCCAGCTTCGCCAGCTTCTCCTCCTCACCCTCCACTGCGCACCCCGGTACCCTGGGACTCACAGCCAGCTGGGCGATATCAGCTTTACTGCCCGTGTATTTGGACACCCGCACTCTTTACACCTGTTTCCGGTGATAACCAGGAATTGGTTAAGGTTTTGCACTGAGCCTTTAGCAACTTCAGTTCAAATCTCAATCACAGAGAATTTCTTCCAAAGCAATATTCCAAAGCAAAGAGATGGAAGATACAGAGAGAATTTTATTGGGCAAGTATCACTATCTGATTGTCCTGTTCTTATATTCTGCCCTAGGAATCTGCTACTGGACACTGACAAACAAAAGTATTGTACCAGTTAGTGCATAAAGTCCACTGTCCATAAAAGGAAGGTTTTCCTGTAACCACCTAAGCCTTTTAACAGCACTAAATAAAACCCACCAGAACTACAGGTAAGCCCTTAAAAATGCTCTGATATCTGAAAAAAAAACCAAAACAAACCCACCAGCAGATTAGTAGTTAAAAACTAAAAAAGCTCCTATTTGGATTTTTCCTTTATATGTTAAACAGATAAAATAAATTATCACATAGACAAGTATTTCATTCCCTCAATTTAAACACGAAAAAGGTAAATAAAATAGCTCCCTGAATGATTCCATAGAAAGAAAGTCTCACAGATATTTTCAACCTTCTGCCTTAGGCCTTCTTCCTTAGACCACCTAGAAGTCTTTTTTTTCTCCAGTGAGGATGAACTTCTGAGTTAATTAGCTAACGATAACATACTTAACTTGAACAGTTTACTGAGCAGCATCACTTCTCCTAGGTATGAATGTGCTGAGTGTCCATGCCTGGAGTTACAAGGAGCACACTTTGGGCACACAGCCTGTACACACATTGCTGTTTCTCTCCCAAACTAAGCAGAAAGTTTCACGCTGAGATGCAATCCAGAGTTCCAGGGTTACTGGGGACACAAAGTACAGCCTTTAAAGCAAGAATTCAGCAATTCTGACATCCTGATATTTGCAAGCAACAGATCTGGAAATATTTATGTGCCTTGTCCTTCCTCTGTAGTTGAAGGAAATCCAAAATGAGCAAGAAAGTAATAGGAGACCAGTCACAAGCTTACAGACTTTCCAAAAAAAAAAAAAAAAAAAAAAACCCAACAAGAAATGGCCTTTCTACTTCCAAAGAGGACAACTCTAAGACAGTATTTAACACATCAATGTAAGTGCTCTTATACTACCATTATATCTTCAGTTCAGGAGTTCAGGAGAACAAAAACAAGGGGAGCTATTGGAGGTCACCACCCCAATTCTGGTGAGTTCAATCACTGAAAGGACCAAAATTTCATTGTAAGGTTGAATGATCTGATAGCAGTCTGAAAAGGTCCCATCCCTGCAGAGTCCCACCCTACCAAATCAATGTTGCATGAAGTTAAAATGAAAATGAAGGCAATATTTAAAAAAAAAAAAAAGGGATAAAAGCTAAGCCTGCTAAACCCAGGAAAATCCATCTCTATTACAGTGAACTGAAGAATTTTGTCTGTGAGAAGAAAAAAAGTTCCTGAAGCTTGGAAGAGATCAGAGGACCCTCTTGAGAGATATTCAAAGGTGTTTGAAAAGAGAGAGATAAACCACTCTCCCCAGTGAAAACATCCCGATACGCTGGAGTCTCCATATGAGCATTTTTAAAGAAATTTGATAATGCTAGAGCCCTGACTTTGACTCAATATTGTACTGGTGAGAGACAGTTAATTCCAGTGGTTCATGACATCTGGAAGATTGCCTATCTACTGCTAGTGGTGACAGACTAGACATAATCTTTAAGGAAAAGATCTCTCTGCATCTTTCTCCTAGCAACAGCTAATGACACCGTGAAGCCATGCCGCTTGACTCTGTCAGGGATAAGGGACAAGGGGCAAGGAAGGCAGAGCAGCTACTTCCATGTGACCACATATTTATTTGTTTTCATTAGGACAACAGTGAAACAGTTTCTCTCCCTGTCCCTCTGCGAATGCGTGTTATGCACACTCATGTAAACGCACCACCTGGCAACATATTAGGAGAGCCTGTTTTTAAGCAAGGTAAATCTAATTGGAAGCCAGAGAAAACAGCAGTAACAAGGAAAGGGTGTTGCAATGTACACTGAAAAAGAGTTTTGAATGTTGCCATTCCTCATATTGCTATGTGTGGGGTGAAGCACACAGAGAAGCACTGTCCTTTAATTGATAATGTAGGCTCTAGAATGGATTTTTAGTGGTGCCCCAGGTGTTACCATATTTTGTCATTGTCTTTCCTCTGCTGTACTTTTTCTTTCTCATTTTGTATTTTCCAGTATGCCACCAAAAGACACTGCAGGGGGTATTTTTTTCTTTTTATTTTTTCTTTTTTAAACAAATAACTATTATCTTACTTTCTGGCAGTACTGCTTATTGTACAAGCAGGGCATGGAAAGACTGGACACAGAACATAAAAATGGGAGGATGGAGTTGGAGGAGAGGATCTCCAGTTGTAGAATACTTTTCCGGGAAGGAAGTACAGGATATGGTTACTTTACAGATACATAATTCTTGCTGAATTCCTTTATTTCATCAGAACAGAACAGATTGCAAACAACAGGCATGCAACTGAGAATTCAAGAGTTAGGTCTGCAATTCTTCAGTCTGTATGTCTAAAAATTGGTCTTTGCCCAAAATATTCTGTGTGATCTCCTTCTTGCATTCATCATTGTCCTGGAATTTGTGCAACTTGACTTTTTTCGCAGACTTTCCAGATATGCTGTGTGTTAACTTCTTAAATGTTTTTCCTGATTTATCTCTCATACATTTCCTTTTTCAGTGCCTCAAAACATCCATCTACATCCTTGTACAAAGATGACATCTCAGCTCATAGGGAAGCTGCAAATCTCTGTCCCTACCACAGACACCTACTCATAAATCAAAATCTCTGATGATATAGATATTCTGAATCTCTGACACAGAAGGGTCATATAAAATCCATGTACAGAATAGTGCCTAAAACCTCTGTCATAATCTTCCCAACAGTGGACTTGTCAGCACTGGTGTCCTATTATGGGAGATAACCTTGAATTAAAATATATATATCACACATTGAACAGCAGTGTGTGAACAATTCAAAACATCATCACCACAGCAACACCCCCATCCAGTCAGGAATACAGCTAGAGACATTTCCCACCAGTTAGGAGGGAACAGCATTGTGGAATAACCTATGAATCTGTAAAACTTCAAACTAAAAAAAGCTGGAGGAGGACTAACTGCCTGCTTCTCAACTCTTCTAATGAAAGATGTTGCAGTGGAGCTCCCACACCTGTGCCCAAAAATTTCAAAATTGGAATATTCTTTGGTCATATGTTTTGAGCTCACAGATATTACGGAGCTGACAGGAGCTGTGACAATATTGTCACATGTTAAATGGACAAATGTTCACACCTTTGCAATTATTGTTGTATTAGAAAGTACATAATTTGTGTTGTCAATTTCCATATCCAAAAAATCATATCTTAACTAAAGTGCTCAGATGGGCTGAGCCATTTGGACTCATTATACCAGAACTACGAACTTCTGAGGATATGAAATAGACAAAACACCAGAAAGCACAACCATGGACAGCTCCAGGAGCAATAGATGGATGCACTGGCTTTCTAGCTCTTGGCTGTCTCTTGCCAAATTACACCATTTTTCCACACTTCATTCATCTTTCATTAGAGAATGATGATAAGCAAGAAGCAGCAGGAGCCTCAAAGTACAAGATTTGTATCAAGTGTTCAGTCTCAGAGATGAAAAGGCTGAACAATGATGTGTTCACAAAAATGTCTCTTCTGCTGATCCTGCTCCTGCTGCTCCCTGCAGCTTGTACTTCCCCTACATGTTAAGAATGACAGGTAGGAGTGGCTGGGATGTGCCTTAACAGCATGGCCTGGAGGAGAAAATACAATGCTGACATGAAGTTCTGCAATCAGATCAGATACAATCTTGAAAGTTGCCCTGCACAACCCAGATACTTCTATTCCTTCTTGCCCTTTTATTACAATAGCTGTGTTGCAAGTTAAATGCACTGCATTGTCACACATCAAAGAAATGCAGAGATGCTTTATTTCCATACCATACCATGGAATGACATGAGGTGGTATTTCTGAAATGAAAAACAATCAATGCAGCAATTCTGTGAGAAGAACACTTCAGAATGAGTCAAAGAGACAATAAAGTATATAATTAAGAACAGGACTTGAGACTGTCAGGACTGATTTTTTCTTGCAACTACACTTGGCCTCTTCCACGCTGAATGGACAAAGACCACAACAGAAATAAAAAATCTAGTTTCTTTGCCAGAATAGAGTAAGGCTTTGAAAGGATTCTGAGACCTTTGTTGGGATTACTGGAATAATTTAACAGGAGGTCATGTTATTAGATAGAGAAAAAAAAAAGACATTTGTATTTCAGATTGCATGTACTGTCTGAGAATAAAGGAGGAAGAAAAATAAGCATGAAGATGCCTGAAGCTACTTTGCAATGAGGAAAAAAAGCCCTGACAGAAAGAGGATGAAAGAGAGGGAATATGGGAATAAGATTCTGAAAAAAAACACACAAAAGAATTTATTTCACTTCCAGGCTAAAGCAATATTGTTTAGTCAACACTACTAAAAAGTTAGTTCTTCTCATTCTAAGTTGTGCAATCACTTAATCAGAATAATTCAGGTTGGAAGGGACATTAAGAAGTCATTTCAACCTTCTGCTCAAAGCTAGATTCATTATGAGGAGAGACCATTTTGCTTAGGGTTTTATCCAACTGAGTCCTAAAAATCCCAAAAAAAGAGGCATCCCACCTCTCCAGACACCTTTTCCACTGTTTGACTGTCCTCATGAGGAGAATTCTTTTCTTTTTATCCAGCCCAAACTTCTAGCTTCACTTTAGGTGCATTGCCTCTCATTCTCACACCAGGAGAGCCCAGCTCCATCTTTTCCACAAGCTCCTCCTAAGCACTGTCAGGTTGCTACTGGGTTTCCCCTGGAGACACCTCTTGCCACGCCAAACAAGCCCAGCTCCCTCAGCCCCTGCCCCAGCACAAGTTCTTCAACTCTCTGAGTATTTTGACAGCTCTCTGCTGAATTTTCACCACTTAGCTCTACTGTCCTTATATTTGAAGTATCCAAAGGTAGATACAGATGTATTCTGATGAATACTGAATCCCTTAATCTCCTGGGTGTGCTGTTAATACAACAAACTGCTGACAGAATTTGCTGCCAGGTCACACTGCTGGTTTATGTTCAGCTTTTTGCACCCCCAGGCTTCCCAGGCTGTGCTCAGCAGTGCTGCTTCCCAGCCAGCTGGTCCCAGTCCATATCCTTGGGAAACCCAAAGTGTACAGCAATATAGGTCAGACCACTGGAGGTCATCCAGTCAAACTCATTCTCAAAAGAAGGGGCAACCTCAAGCTTGGGTGAAGTGGCATCCATAATCTAAACCTGAATCTCACAAATTACATACATAAAGCAATCCAGTCAGCTCCAAAATCTATTTCTAAAGAAGTCTTTCCCACACTATGATTATTATTATTTTCCAAGCACATAATGACCAATAAAAGCTGGTACTATAAAAAGATAAAGAGACAGCAGCTGCAAAACATAATGGAACCACTCAAAAATAATTATTTTATAATGGCAAGGACAGGGAAAGTGAAGGATTTTAGTGAAACATGTATTAGAGTGAGTAACCAGACTCAGGCTCACTTCTGTTGCACTTGGAAGCAAGTGCAAATTTAAGGCACCTTTTGAGCACAACCATGAATATAAAGAGAATCTTCAGAGCAGATAAAAACGATGCCCTGAAAGTGACCACAGCAACAATGATTATCCAGATTCCTCTCCCAGGCTCAGCATGTTTTCACAGTGAAGCTGCTCATGCCTCCCAAAGCTCAGGAACTACTGAAGACAGCCAGTACAGCACAGGACTCCATGGGAGCAGGCTGTGAGGCAGGCAGGAGATGCAGAGGTGAGCAGTCCCTGTCCCCAAGAGCAGAACTCTGCAGTGGCATGTTACAAAGCACACAAACTGGGCTGTCAACACCTGTCACTAATCCCCACATGTGGTCACCTTGTACCTTTGCCTTGACTGATGAGGTGAGGGGCTGCCTTATTCACTCACTCACACACCTTCTCACATCTTCTCCTGCAGAATCAATTTCCCTCAGCAGGAAGTGTAACAGGCACTTCTGTGTGGTTTCTAGTACTGCAAAATATGATCTGCCAGCAAACGTATGTAAGGGCTATGACTAGGAACATAATTTAGCACTTAAATTTGGGATATCCTATTGTACATAAACTTTCACCAGCCAGCTTGTTTTTTCAGCAACATAAACTTAAGATAAATGTCTGATTTTAGATCCTTTCCTATGTAAAGTAAATGAAATTTTTCTGTTGTTAAAAGAGAAAAGATTTCTTTTATCAACCAAGTTTTTTTTATCTTTTATCCGAACTGCTTGGATAATACGGTAGTGCAGAAGAAAATTACATAGGAATCTGAATCTTGCAACAGAAAACTGAGAGGGAGTTTTACAAATTACTTCAGTTATTTACAATAATGAGAACATAAAATAATAATGAGAACATAAAATAATAATAATAATAATAATAATAATAATAATAATAATAATAATAATAAACAATTATTGTTAGTATTCTAAAAATTAGGCTCTAATTGTCACATACTGGTTCTGCAAAGGAGCTATAAAAGGACAAATACACAAGTTTTTCCCTATAAAAGAGTAATGTATCTGTTCACTGCCTTCTAAGTATCTTCTGTTCACATTTCATTTTCTACTAAAAATAAATGAAAGAGAACATGTACTACACAAAAGATCTGGCAATACTTATGTATCTGCTACCATCTGCTGACAAACAGCATTATTGACTTTATCTTAGTCAGTCTTAAAGAAACAACTCCTATTTCCCTATAGGAAATTTTCTGCTGATGCTACAGTGGCTGACAGTAACAGCTACATGAATTTTCAATTCAGCATGTTGTAGCCATAGTAAGGCAATAATTTCTTATCCAGCCACTTTGTCTGCATGACAGATTCACCCTCACCATCATATTCCACTCATATAGTAAATTACTGCATCCTGCATTCATTGAAGCCCTTCAGCTATTGCAGACAGTTTCTGAAGTCAACTACTGAGCAATTACACAAAACTCATTCCTCATTTACAAAACACAAAAATTTATTATTAGCCATAAGACTGTCCAAACAAGTCACAGAATGGGTAAGGTTGGAAAAGACCACAATGGACCACAATCTGGTCCAACCTCCTGCTCAAGCAGGGTAATCCTACAGCACACTGCACAGGATTGTGTCCAGATGGTTCTCTAATAGCCCTGGGATGGAGACTCCAAAGCCTCTCTGGGCAATCTGTTCCAGCGCCTGGTCACTCACAGAGTAAATAAATTCTTTCTCATCTTCAGCTGAACTTCCTGCGCATCAGCTTCTGCCCATTGCCTCTTGTCCTATTGCTTGGCACCACCAAGAAGAGCCTGGTCCATCCTTTTGACACCCTCCCTTCAGATACTGACAGACATTGATGAGGTCCCCTCTCAGTCACCTCTTCTGGAGGCTGAACAGGCCCAGCTCCCTCAGCCTTTCCTCATAAAAGAGATGTTCAGTCCCTTAATCATCTTTGTAGCCCTCCATGGGACCCACTCCAGGTGCTCCACATCTCTCTTGTCCTGAGGAGCCCAGAACTGGACACAGCACTCCAGATGTGCCTCACCAGGGCTGAGCAGAAGGACAGGATCACCTCCTGTGACCTGCTGGCAATGCCCTTCCCAGTGCACCCCAGGATACCTTTGGCCTTCTTGGCCACAAGGACACACTGCTGGTTTGTGAGCAGCTTGTTGGCCACCAGGACCCCCAGGTCCTTTCCATGGAGCTGCTTCCCAGCAGATCAGACCCCAGCCCGTACAGGTCCATGTTATTGCAGTCTTGTTTTCCAATCTACAATGTGGGATAAAAATATCTTTTTTCCCCTAGTCTTAATTTTAAGACACTAATGGTAATTACCACCTTTCAATGACCATACTTAATTTTACAACACTTCAAGTGAAAGCCTTGATTAGCCTCCAGATACTATTTTTGTTGAGAAAAAGACTAACAAAAACCTACAGAAAAAAACTAAAAATAAATTTTAAAAAATCCTCAGTTTCAGGTATCACATATTAAATTGCAGAAGTTTGACAGTGAAGAGAGACCAGGTCACACTGATGACCCGTATCTGGCTATATGGTAAACTAAATTAAAAGAGTATCTGAAATATTTATTTATATATGCACTTCAAAACATTTAGAAAAAAAAAGCCAAAGCTTCACATCTGATAAGCTAAAATATCAGGAAAAAAATCAATGAAAGAAGAATGTGGAGATATATACTAAAACAATGTTTGTTCAACAGATGTAATTCTTTAAATTAGATTTGACTTTGTTAGGAATCTGAGTTTGAAACGCTCTTTAGGTGGTAAGTCTTAAGAATAGTTGGTTCTTCCATACTAGGTGCCTTTAGCAAATGGAATTATAAATTAGAGGTTTAACCTGTCTCTTGTCCCCTTCCCATTGTAATATTTTATTTTCTTTTTAACTTCCAAAGTTAAAAAATGTGTCCTTGAGCTCTGCTGTAGTGGCGGTAACAGGAGGGGGCCCCGCTGCCACACGAGGTGGGCGGGGGGTCACGGTGGGCTTTACTTGGGAGAGAAAAAGTGGTTTGCATTTGACTTAAGTTCCTGCCTGCAGAGCTCAGCTGTGTTTGTGTTTAAAGAACTCCCAGCTGGGCTTAAACCTCTTTCTTCCTTGCACTTCCATCGCTAAAGCCAACCCTGGAGGGTGTTGCTGACAGGAGACCAAAAGCTAACACCAGAGCTGAGCCACGGACCCACAGCGCCGAGCCCAGCGGGACCCACAGAGCGGACACTGGGGACATTGGCGGCCGCCCGACGCCAACCGCTCAACACGCGACCAGAGCACCCTCAGGAGAAGGAGCCACCGGGGTGTGCGGAGCCACCTCAGCCCGGGTTCCGAGCCGCGGGACCATCGGCGCGCCCCTCGCCTCGGGGAAGGCGGAGCCACTCCTGGCCCCACCGCCCCCTTCCACCATCGCTCGGCAGGGCAAGCGGCGGCCGCCCGAGTCTCGCGAGAACCGGCGCTGCCGCTGCCACCGCCGCCATGGAGCCGCCGGTGCGCGGCCCGCCGGGGCTGTCGGCCGTGCTGGCGGTGAGGGGAGCGGGGCCGCCCGGGGAAACGGGGCTGTCCGGCGGGGAGGGGGGAGGCCTTTGCTGGTAGTGCGCTCCTTGCCGAGCCTGGTACGGGAGGCTGCGGGGCGCGGTCCGTGAGCGACGCCGGCCGTGCTCGGTCGCTGTGGCCGCCCGTTGTCCCGCCGCTGCCTGACCCGCTTTCCCTGTGCCCGCAGAGCACGGACTGGTCCGAGCCCTGGCTGCTGGGGCTGGCCGCCTTCCACCTGCTCTGCTTCCTGCTCACCTGCGCGTCCCTGCAGCACCGCCGGGTGCAGGTCGGCCACTTCCTCTGCATGGGTGAGTGCCCGTGCGCTGCCACAGCAGTGCCTGCAAGCTCGTATTTCCCCGCCAGCAGTGCGTGTGTCTGTCGATGATAATCTGCTATGACCTAAAAATATGTATTGCTTTTATTTCCAAGAGAATGTATGAAGTAGTGACTTAAAGCTCTGGCCTTGGTGAGGGAGTGGCATGAGTAAGGTCACTGCGTGGTCACTGCCGTGTGTATCGCAGCTTCCCGATGAAGTGTTCTGTGCTGGAGAAGCAGAAGGGAAATCGACTGAGAGCGTTGTACTCTGCCTTGTTCTAGTGGTGCAGTTCGGTGAATATGGTCAGCTTTAGTTTCTGGAGCAAGTTCACTGTGTGCCCTGCTGACAGCCGTGATGATGGCATGAGGAAGAGCAAGACTGGCTTGCACATTGCAGTAACAACTTGTGTTATCCCAGGGTTTATCAGCCTGAGAGTCCACAGGGACCTTGCCTAGCCAAAGCAGTCATGGCTGACTGGCAGAGAACACATGCTAGCTTTGGTTTAAGACCACATGGATTTAGATTAGATCATGTATTATGAGCAATTTATTTTTAAAGAAATACTAAGTCTAATTTTTTTCTTTTATTTGTAGTGGGCTTAGTGTACTGTGCTGAATATATCAACGAATTAGCAGCCATGAATTGGAGGTAAATGTTTTCGCTTTCATTTTTTGAATAAAACTATACAGTACAACATAGTTATCACATACTTTCAAGAAATAATAATGATAGCATGCATTTATTGTACTTCTTAAAATCTGTTTATATGGATGCTTCCAAACCAACTCATCAAAGAACTGAGAGAAAAGCAGAGTGCTGTGGTTAAGGGGAAAAAAATGTGAACTATGGTGGGTTTTTTGGGGTTTTTTTGGTGGGTTTTGTTTCTTTGTTTGTTTGGGGGAGGGAGGAGTTTGATATTCATATTTAATAGTTGAAGAACCACTTCCCAAAAATTCCACTGCTGCTTTATATACTTACTTCTATGTATAACAAACATTAACATTTGCCTGTTTTACTAAATGTGTGTACCAGAATTAAACTGATGCTTTATTTGATATTTTGAGCATTGACTTAGTCTTTCCCTTATATCACTGAAAGTTTCGTGTTTAACACCACTTTATGCTGGCATCTAATTGTAGTCATGCTTCAGGCATATATGACCTAATTACAGCTTTGCTACATTTATTATTTTTGTTAAATTTTCTGATACAAGTTAGTAAAACACCTAAAGTAATTTCTGGTGCTTCAGAATAAGCATGTTTTGTGATGCACTCTTGTAGTCAGTCACGTTAGTTAGCTTTTACACAGTAAAACTGTAAAGAAGAGAAAGACTGATACTAATATTTATAACTGAAGAAGTATCAACTGCCTCTTTTTTTCTGATTTAGTGCAGTAGAATGCTGGCCTGTGCTTGGTGATCCCAAGATGTGGGATGATGTGTCCATGTAGAACAGTTGCTGGGAAAGTTGAATGTGTGAACTATACTAAGTAAAACTTTGTCTTTCATTTTCTTTTTATTTCTTTCAGGCTCTTTTCTAAATACCAATACTTTGATTCAAGAGGAATGTTCATTTCACTTGTATTTTCAGCACCACTGCTGGTGAATACTATTATAATTGTGGTATGTATGTGTTCATTGATATAGATGCTTTCAGTAAATGAGTAAGTAAAGTATATGAATTAGTTGAATTTAATAATTTACTTGCTTTTCAGGTCTCCTGGGTTTACAGAACTTTGAATGTAATGACTGAACTAAAGATGCTACAGCAGAGAAGGAAAGTAGAAAAAGAGAAAAAGAAGTGAAAGTGCCAAACTTCTTCTTTCTTCAGTTGTAATAATGCCTGTCTGGATAATCAGTCCTTCTGTAAGGGTATGCAGGAACAGAAATATTTTTGTGTGTGGTGTCAAGAGGACTTTGTGATTGTGGCTGTGGGCATTGAGGTGAAAGCAGGTATCTACAGTACATTTGAATTGGCTGTGAAATTATGAAACCAGTCTTAACAAGTCTTTGTGCCCTTCAGTGTACGATTGTTTTCCTCCATGACCAAGGCTGTTAGTATTGATGAGACACAATCTTCCAGTTTCCATTTGCCTGTCTATTTTTTTACTATGTCTTTTTTTCTGTGCTTATCAAGTGTCAGTTATTCTGCTGCTTAAGCCAATTGGAGCTGTGTTGTGAATTACAGTAAATGAGAGATTTTATTCAGAATAACTCAGGAATCCATGCTTCTGTGAAGCACATCACTTCTTTATAAACCAAGTTTCATACTTCCTGTGTGTACTGTGTGCCAGTGGCATTTTATAAATAAAACTATCCACTTACTGTATCTCAAATTGAGTTGATTTGTATTCATTTTTAATCAGACTTTTTCCTTCTTTTTGTCTTGTTAAAATTCCCAGTTTAGCAAATTTTCCAAGTTTAATTTGTGTGAATAATTAAAAATTATCTCTGTGTTTCTTTCTATTTATACTTCATGTTTTTAAAGCTTCTAGATAAATACATTTTTTAAAACTGAATGAAAATTTGATTGTTTTATGCTTCTTTATAGAACAGGAAGAAAGGGAAGAAACGTAGTAATGTTATGCGCAATTTGTTCCCTTTTTAATGCTTTTTTAAAATAACTGAAAATTAAAAATAGGTAAAAATTAAGAAGGCTTTAGTTTTGCTTCAAGTAGCCTGTTTTTATTATTCAATACTAATAATTGAATTAGGTTAATGAATAAGGTTGAATTGAATAATGTTAATTGAATAATTAAGGTTGAATTGAATAAGGTTAATTGGAGAAGGGGTGTGGACACAGTGGAGACTGTCCATATTTAGTAAAAGTTGTATTTTTGTGTGGAGATGTACTGTTCTGTCTGAAATACGTGTCATTTAAGACAGGAAAGGTGATCTACAAAACTGATCTTATACTAATGTGAAAAACATTTGGGTACAGAATTGCAGAACACTAGTAAGCTTATAACCTAAGGAAGTATTTGTGAAACTAATTTTAGTTACTTGAATTAAAGTAATTCACAAGAGTGGAGATAGGGACTTGACGAAGAGAGCAGATGCATGTTATGCACAGTTTGCAAGTCTAAACAGGGACAAAGTGAACCTCTGCTGAAAGGGCAGTGAAGTGTTAGTGTTGGATCCATTTATTTCCCATACCTCTTTGGTATTCCTTTACCCACTCTGCTCCATCCACAGCTACTGGCAGCTAGGCTATTTTATACTAGCAAACTTAATAGATGCAGGTTTGTGGTCATGAATTCTGACCGTTCTCCTGCGACTCTTGGTGCAGTTTTGGGTGGTGTCAACTGTATGGAGAAATCTCGAGTGGTCTGGTAGATATTGTGTGCTTTTTGGGAAGGAGTGAAGGGAGTCTGTCCAAATGCCTGCCAGGTGGGCTGTGGCAGCTGTCACCAGGACCAAGGAACCAGGACCTTTTTGATTTCATATACACAGGATGTTGTCCTCCCAGGCTGGTTTATAAAAGTTCAGCCTTGCTCCTACAATTTGATGGGGAGACTTGCAATTTTCACACATGGCCTTAATCATGACCACTCAAATGATGTGCTCCTGACTGTCCCAGTGATAACTGTTCTGCAACAAATCAGTGCACAATTGTTTTAGTATCACACACTTGAAGCTGTTATACTTCATATGGAGATAACACCTGTTATCAAGTAACCTTCATTTCACAGTGTGAAGTGTATGAATTTGATTCACAGTAATTGAGGAGGTTCAGCTGAGCAACAAGTCTTGCAGTGGAAAACAGTGTGCCTTATTTAGTACATCCAAGGCAAATTTTCTCTAAATAGTTTGCTATTTTGCTTATCTTGTGTGTAATGTTGGTAAATAGATGGATAATACTTGGTTTCAAAAGCACGACGACTTTTTTTTGGTGTTCTAGAAGTATTGCTTTATGAAAGCATAAACAGCTCCAAATTCAAAAATTGTATCAGTATTTTTTTGAAGGATGAGTATCTCAAAATTGTGAGTTTAAAACCTTCCCTGACTCCTGCAATGTCGGATTTTGGGGCTGTTTAGATGGTCTGGGAAAAGCCCAAAGATGGCCTTGGGCCCCCGGGTTCGAAAGGACGAGAGGAAACTTCAGATTTTTTCTCGGTCTCGGTGTTTATTAATTGCTTATCTAAAAGATTTTCTCTTGGCCTGACAGAGTTCTGCTCAGCAGTCAGCCATGGGCACACACTGAGAGCCCCTGGGGCGGCCACCTATCTTTATACCCGGAGTTACGTATACAATATTTATCATTTTTCTCCAATACCCTCTACCCTTATTAACCAGTACACTTTAGTAAGGTCCAATCCCAAAGTGCCAACATCACCACAGAAGATGGAGGCCTAGAGGAAGAAGAAGAAGGAGAAGGGCACGCCCCAATTCCTCCATCTTACTTCTCTAGACCCCCCTGTACAGAAATCTTAAACTCTTTATCTCACACTCCAATTAACTTATCCCTTCACCATTCACCCTGGTGAAATCCTCCTATCCTCATACTGATGTCATCTCCCATGTGGGATCAAAGTCCAGCCACCAGACATTTCTGGCAACATTCCAGGACTCCCGAGCCCCCCAGGGGTGGTCTCGTTCACCCTGCACCCCAGTTCTGAGAGACTGAGATCCCACACTGCAACTACAATAAGAAACAGGTGAGATAAATTTTCACAAACACAAAAACGTGGTTTCCGTATTTCACAAAAACACATGGGTTGAAGGCAACCTTGAAGATCATCTAGCTCTGACCCACTGGCCATGGTCAGGATTCCACCCACTAGAGTGGGTGGCCAAAGATCCAATCCTGCCTGGCCTTGAACACTGCCAGGTTGCAGCATCCACAGCTTCTTTGGGCAACCAGGGCCTCGCCATTTTGTGAGGAAGACTTTCCTCCTAACAACTAATCTAAACATGCCCTCTTTTAGTTGAAAGCTGATCTCCTTTGTTCTATCACTACATGTCCTCATAGAAAGCTGCTCCCCCTCTTTTTTGTAAGCACCCTTTAAATACTGAAAAACTGCAACCAGGTCCCCTTGGAGTTTCCTCTTCTCTAGGCTGAACATCTCTAGATGACACTCCTTCCTTCTTTGTGTCACCTGCAGCACTCAGTTTTGTGTCATCTGCAAACTTGCTGAGGTTGCACTGGATCTCGCTGTGTTATTGTTAAAGCACTAAAGGGCACCAGTGTCAAGACTGGGGCTCTGAGGGACACCACTTGTCACTGGCTTCCACCTGGATGAAGCAATTGACTACAATCCTCTGCTTGTGTCCATCCAGCCAGTTACTTACCCACAGAACAGTCCACACTTCATGTGTCTCCAGTTCAGTGATGATGATGTGTGGGACTGGTCACAAGCCTTGCACAAGCCTATGCAGATGACATCTGTCCGTTCCCCTGTTGACTGATGCAGTCACTCCATCATAAAAGGCTACTGGATCTGCCACAATTTGCCCTTAGTAAAGTCTTTTTGGCTGTCTTGGATGACTTTCTTCTCTTGCATGGGCGTGTGTGTTTGTCAGAAAAAGATTCCCATTTTCTACATTTCAGAAAGACTTAAATTTATCTGTCATCTCCTCTACCTAAACTTGCCTAAAAACCACTGAGTTTAAGAGTGAAGTTTTTTGTAGGTTTGCTTTGTTTTTTTTTTTTTTGTTTGTTTGTTTGTTTTAAGTAGGTATCATAAACCATAAGAGAAACCATCAATGAGTGAAGCATGACTTCGTCATGAGTCTGGATTTATGATGTGATAGTACAATAACATTAAGTATGGGCCTACTTGCTGGCAAACCAAAATAATTACATCATGAATTTAGAGGCTGTTTGGCCTGCTTAGAATTTGTATGTGTAAGTGAAGGAGAGCCAATTGTTTAAGACTGGTGGAATACTTTTGCTTTTAATTGGAAAACCTGAATTTAGGTTGCTTGTGAAAGAGCCAGTAACTTCCTTTCCAAACATACATACAGAAAGTTGGTAGCTGCTCAACTGGATCCTTTGGAGAGTGAGACAAGACAGAGGTGATTTGTTACTGGTTTGTGTATCTCAAAGGCAGTGACTCAGATCTTCAGCCCACCATATGTCTTTCCATGACAGCACATGGTGTCAGCTTCATGGAAAAACATTACAAGGGAGAAAGTAATATTAACCTGGCAACTTTGTCATAGTAGAGGGTAATTTTGCTGTGCTGTGAAATAAGGATAATCTGTGAAAAGACAGATTATCAGAAATTAATTGGCAAATTTGCTGGAGTTTGAGGTTCGCCTTGTTTCCCATGAAAAAGTAATAACTGAGATGAGTTTCCAAAAATGGAAACCTAGAATGCTCTCTTTTTCCATATCCACTGAAATATCATATTCTTAATGTAGAATATATTTTATCCTCGTTTTGGTCCAACGAATCTCATGATAGCAGATAAAATGGAACGGATTCAGTAAGGGATTTTAAATGTCTTTTCCTCAGCAGTATTTCCTAGCTTTGATCTCCATCTCCAATAAAAAACTCACCTGTCTCCAAAAGGCACAGAAGGACACTCAACTGAGGTCTTCTACATCCTTGATTGTATAAACAGAGAACTTTAAAGTACAGTCTTAGTGATTTTCAACAGCTGGGTCTTGAAAGAAGGGATCTGCTCTAGAAAAGCTGTGTTTGAGTTAGATGGTGATCTGCTGGGGCTGTGAATCCCAAATTGAGTTTACAAAGAATGGCTTTGTGGGTGTTGAGAATCGTAAGCTCCATTTTTATGGGAACTCAGATTTTCAGGAAAAAGAGGAGTAGGGATTCTTTGTCTGAACAAGATAGAATACAGCTGTAGTGTAGCAGATGTTCTATTTCTTCAAATACAGCTAAATATTTTTGCATACTTTTATTGTAAGCTTGATTAAACATTCTGGATGAAATCCTGTAGAATGTGCTCTAGAATGACCCTGCTTGAGCAAGGAGGTTGGCCAAGGTGACTCTCACAGAATGTGACCCATTCTGTGATTCTGTAATTTTTCACTTCAGGTGAACACAGCATTTTTATATTTATTATATCTAAGTATGGGGTTTCTTTGTTGAGGGAAAAAAAAACCTGTGTATATTTCTCTACTGAAATATTTTTAAATATTTTAAAATAGGTTTGAAATATTTTAATGTGTTTCAACTAAATAAAAGTATTGATGTTTTTCTGTCTGTCAGGGAAGAGATCAGTGCAGGCAATCAAACTCACCGCTGGATGTCACTGTCTTACACGCAAAAGCGGACTCAAAGCTTTCCTTTTTAGAGGATTCGGTAGCACTTTCCACCTAAGCTTCATAAATACTGCAGCATTTTGGAATGACCAAGAAGCCTTGGAGT